GCCTCCTGCCTGCCCTCGCTCTCCCTCTCTGTCGGTGTGTGTCTCTCTGGCTCTGGCTCTCTCTGTCTCTCGGTCGCTCTCGCTCTCTGTGTGTGTGTGTGTGTGTGTGTGTGTGTGTGTGTGTGTGTGTCTCAAACAAAATAAACACAGAAAATTATCTTCTTCACATTTAATGTTTAAAACTGAGTCTTGGCAGACAAATGAATAATGAAAATTTGGTCCATATACACATTGGAACTTTCTTCAGCAGCAACAACAAAAAATGAATTTATAAACATGTCAGGAAAATGGCTAGTGTAATGATAAAAAGAAAGGAGAATGGCTACCCTTCAGCAGGCCGTGCTGAAGCATGCCACTAAGCAAACATGGCAGGTGCAACAGAGTTAGTGCCAGAGCTTTATTGGGGAAGGGGGAGAATGAAAGGCTATGCCTGAGTGGGGACCTGAGAGAGGCAGGCAGGCAGACAGACAGACAGACAGACAGACGAAGAAGAGAGGCAAGAGAAGAGCAGGGGGCAAGAGAGGAGTAAGAGGCGGGAGTAAAAAGAGGAGGCAAGAGTGGGAAAGGGAGGCAAAGAGAGGAGAAGAGGCAAGAAAGACAAGAGACCAGAGTGAGCTGTGCTCTGGTGGGCACTTTAAAGGGGTGCACATGTCCCACAGCGGATGGTGCGAAGGCACCTGGAGACAGGCGATGACATGACCGCTTTGGCAGCGGAGGCAGGCTGCTGATGTGGTGGAAACTAACAGCTAGAAACAGAAAATACTATGTGAGGTAGCCCGGGCTCAGAAAGACAAATAGCACACATTCTTTCAAATATAGACCTTAGCCTCTTAGCTACACCTGTCTGTGTATGTAGGTGGGAGTAAGTGTAGGTGGAGGCCAGGGAAGTAGAAAGAGGCCCATGAGGTGTGAGGGAAAGGCTGGAGGCATAGCTTGAGGATAATAGGACCTCTTACTTCCTCGGTCTGCAAAGATCTGAGCCACAATTCTGAAAACCACAAGCCCAAGGAATCAAAACACCTGAAACCTAGAACCGTTATTCTGGAAAAACAATAAGAAGTATTTAAAAGACATTGGTGATGTTTTTGAAATGATGATTTATTTTAAAAACATGGAAAGCTAGCAGAACATTTTGTTGGCATCCAAATTTTGGTTAAGTATAACTTTCCAGATATTACAATGAAGCTTCATCAAAGAAAAATGCAAGAAAAGAACGGTATTCAGAAGGTTCCAGATATAAGAAAAATTAGATGAGAAATGAGGTTGATTTTAAAAATAGATTGTATTGGTTAGAAAATAGATGAAAACAGAAAACATGGCTTAGGATGACTGGCATCTGTGAGCCCCCAATCCATAGCCCCTGTCATAGACGTTCTCGTGGTGGCCAACCTGGCTTTTGATGAGCTCCATCAAAAGTCACAACAGGTACCACATATTTCATCACCTCTAGGGTCCAAATGTTGAGAAATTTTATCCTTCACAAATGAAGATGTACAACAAGGACATTGCTTCCTTTATGAAGGAACCACCAACATTTCAAATTAATGAATAATACTCGAATATAAACTCAATGCTGTAAATACCCTTACAGGTGTTAATCTACAGCACACGCAATATTAAAATTCGAAAATAAAACATACATACATCGAACCATAAAAGAACAATATCGAAATCTTAAAACCATACTATCAAGACTTCAAAAAGGAACAATGTTACAATTGGAACTGGAGCACATGCTTTAGCCCCATAGAGAGTACTTGCATGGCCTAATTCCTAGCATTTGTTGACATTTTGAAGTCTTACAGCAACAGATACATTGTTTTTCTTCAAGATAGAACAAAGAATTGTATTCGTTTCTATGTGTCTTTGACCTTTTTGGAAACATTGACTGTATGCTGCTGTGAGCAGTCTGCATTAACTTTCCCCATATCCTGGGCCTTGCCTCAGTGATATTGGACATGTGGAAAGTCCTTCCTGAGCTTGTCACACACAAATCACATATGTAACAATAATGACACAGGCAGCTGAGCAGCAACACTGAAGGTCACCTATAGTGCCTTCTCCATTTTCTTCACTAACTTCTCCAGAAGAGTATCTTCCGTAATTAAAGGTAGCATGCATTTCCTCAGCCAGAAGGATGGCTATGAAAATTAGGACACAATTATGCTTTCTTTTTTTTGTTTTTGTTTTTGTTTTTGTTTTTCGAGACAGGGTTTCTCTGTGTAGCTTTGGAGCCTATCCTGGCACTCACTCTGGAGACCAGGCTGGCCTTGAACTTACAGAGATCCTCCTGCCTCTGCCTTCCGAGTGCTGGGGTTAAAGGCATGCGCCACCAACGCCCAGCCACATTTATGCTTTTTATTATTTACTTTTGTATTTATTTTGAGGCATGGTCTCTTTTCACAGCCCTGACTGTCCTGGAACACCCTATGCAGACTAAGATGACCAGCCTTCCTCCAAGCGATGGAATTAAAGGTATGGGCCACATCCCCAGCTCAAGGACACATTTTCAAAGCCCTGTTTTACCATTGCCTTCTTTAACAACCAGTCCCTTTCCCAGAATTTCATTTCTATTCCTGTGAAGTTATTCAAAGATACATTTTCCATATATTTATGGAATGAGAGAACATTATCACCTACATAACTGAAATATCATTGCATCATAGTCCATTTCCCATGCCAAGAATTCTCAGACATGATCTAGGACATTCCTCGAAAATCAAGGTATCTAATTCTATATGTTTAAAATGTCAGAGGTAAACTGATCGCTATAGTTTTATATCATTAAACAGTGCCTAAGACCTCATCAAGAGCCTTCTCTAAGTTCCTTACTGTCTTGGTTGTAAGATAATAGTCTCTGGGGTAATGTATTATCGAGCTTGAATCATATAGAGACACGGCCCTATGACCCAAGTACGTTATCTTTATCACAACACCTATTTTCCCTGTGTAACCAGCATGATTTACCAGCATCTGCTTTAAAGTTAGTGCAGTTTGTTTACAATAGTTCTTTAACTTAGCACCTAGTTCCCTCAGAACAGTGCTGTCGTCTTCCAGCTCCCCATCTCCCAGGACAAAGCTGTGCAGGGTCAGGAGTCTGTCCTGGGAAATATGAAGCATATCCAAGATGACTTCCTGCTTCTCCTGCGAGCCAGGATCCAAAATCCAGGTCTTAGAGATGAACAGCATTCCTTGACAAAGTGAGCCCAGCTCTGTCCAAAGTAACTGCTCATATCTCTCATATTCTGAGAACTGTTCCATGAAGAGGGCTTCTGGAGAGCATGTCACCTTTCTAAACACCACTAGAAAAATAAATAAACATACCAAATTAAAAAGAAAACTGCCAGGAGTATCCTGTGTGAACCATCACCAAGCAGCTAGTAAGTTCCTCACTTTGCATCACCAGAAGGTGAACATACACAATACCAAACAATAATAATTCAAGAACAGGAGGGCTGTAAGTGCAAGGGGGTCTTAGAAACACAGACTCTGCCAAGGGGGAGCCTGGGAAGTGGATGAACACTCACACCCCCACCTTTTCCATAACAGGGTGCATCAGAAGCTTGCTCTGGGCAACTCCATGACTGAGAAGAGTCAGGGGAGCAAAGGACAGACCTGATGCTGAAGACAGAAATGTCAGGCATCAGTAAGCGTCAAAGAGGTGATGAGACAGGAGGAAAGTGTAGAGAAACAGGAAGATTCCATAGAGCAAAGGAGAGAGCAGAACACATTCCCAGAGATCCAGGGATGGAGAGAGGATGCCTCAGAGGACACCACAAGGTAGACCAGGCTTCCCTGGTAAGCATAGACTGGCAATCACAGTGTAAACCCATAGTTCTTGAAAGCTTTGTATCCAGTACAGGGATTTGAATGGCATTCTCACCTTCTACCTGGCCAGTTAGCATTGGAGAGGAAGTACATTGTGTCTACAGTCCTTCTATGTCAGAACGTGACATGTAGCCAGGTGCTATTCTGTATGTGTGCTTGGCAAGGGCAGGGTGGTGTGGGACCTGAAAACAAGTATCAATGCCAGTGCAGGAAGCCTAGAGACAGATTTCAACATGGAGCCCTGATGGGGCAAGGAGGCTGCAAAATATTAAAAGAAACCACCCTAGAAAGCCACAGTGACACTACCTGGAAGATGAGCCCTCTGTTGCTGAGCTTCCGGGATGTCATGAGCAAAACAGCTAAAGGCCCAGAGTGGTGGGATGCTTGATTGAAGGGTCTGTTTATCATTTTCCTTGGAAGACCCTGAGAAGACATATAGGCAATTTTAAATTTTCCACAGGTCATACTGTTCAGCAACTAGTTTAACGTGTGTTAAAAGTCTCAGGTGAGCTGTGTCTTCCTAAGAGGAAATGGGGTTAGATTTTGAGGTCAAATACAATTTGCAAAATGAAGCTTTGATGATAGTGAAGTGCTCCACACTACACTTACAGAAAACATAAGAACAGAAAGTGCACTATAGTAGTGAAATGTATTAACAATTACATGGGTCTGTTTTACTTCCTGCATTTTTAAATAGAGACTGGCATTCTCAAGACCATGCTGGCCACAAACCCACTATGTGGACCTTGGGCCACAGTGCATCACTATTCCCTGTTTTATGATTTTACAAAATGAAGGCAATTGAAGCCAGGGCTTCTAGATGGTAGGCAAGTACCCTATCATCTCAGAAATGTCCCCAGCTTTGCTTTCTTTTAAAAGCAGTTAACTCCAGAAGGAAGGAAGCCTGGTGAAGAAGTGAGTTTGTGCAGAGAGGAGGAAGCTCTGATTTTCAGATGGTGTAAGTTTCTGGTTTTTGATTCAACTAAGGCTTCCTGTTCCAAAGGAGATAAAAGGACATCATTTCCTTCTCTTCGGAGAAAAATGTATAGTTCCATTTTGTACACAAATGTGAAAGGAAGGAGGGAGTGTTCAGCAGAGAGGCAGATGGGAATAAAAGGTAAGGGACAACGGGGAAGATTAGATGGTGGGGTTCCTGAAATGAACACAGGTCATCACAGGCACCAAAGCAAAGGAGACAATACATGGTGTGCTAGCACATGCAAATGCCCAAACAGAGGGACATTGCCTTTTCATAACTTGATTTTCTAAAGCATTTGTCACTGCTAGTGAAAGACAACTGACACAGAAATTGGACAATGAGAAACGAGATCAGTGCAGTAGGTCCTTGGGGATGGGCTACAGCAGCCATTGCAGGGAATTTTACAAACAGGCTAGACATAGTCTGGAAAGAGGCAAGGAGAACTAATAGGCAGCTCTGGGAGGATGAGCAAAAGCGCAGGAAGCAGATAGGACAGTGACCATGAAAGGCTCGGCTGACCAGCCTTCTGATGGAAATGGAACTGCCAGGGAGGCCTGACTAAGGACCACTTTCAGTCTTCTGGGGCAAAATTTCGGGTTGCAGTTTGTTCATGGCCTATGGCTTGGCAGAGATGTCAGTTTACCCCCTGTGAGAGGTGAAACCACCCTCGAGGGGAATTATGAGTTGGGGCCCCTTCCTCCTCTTGCTTCAGTCCTGGCCACCAGAAATGCAGGCTGTATCACAGTTGGCCATTGTGAAGGGAATAGCTCATAGCATTTCTGAAAACAGCTAAGGTACTTTCTATCGGGAATCTCTTAAGGAGGGCAGAAGGAAACAGGAGGTTGTCAACTCAGGATTGTATCTAGCAGAGGTCAGTAAATTAGCTGTTGAGACATAAGGAGTCTCGACATTCCCCAGTCCCACAAATCTTCCAACCCCCTGTCCCAAATGTAAAGTGACTGCAGTCCCCCTTTTCAACCTGGTGTGGTGTCCATCTGGAGCTTCACCCATTCCTCTGTGGTAAACCTCTTCACACAGCTGCCTTCCACGTGCCAGGAATCAGGCTCTGCAGCGAACACAGCACAGCAGAATCTCTCCACTCTGAGCGCACAGACATATGAACACACAGTTCCCTGTCTGTGGACTGGAATGAATTTGCATGTGTTCTTCAGCTTCCCCTGCTCCTCACAGAAGTGAGTGACAGGCAGCTGACCGATGCACTTCTCTATTTCACTCTTTAGCTCCACGAGGTCACTCTCATCTGCTTTAAAACCAATTATTTGTTGTTTTTCCCCATCTAAACCAATGAACAAGTATCCCCCTTCAGTGTTTGCAAATGCAGAGACAGTTTGAGGGAGAATCTCTAAAATCTTTTCTTTAGGGGGCATTTTAACTTCAGCATGTTTGGATTTAGTGAAACAGAATGTCTCCTCGTAGATAAGCTTTTCCATGTTAAAAAACATGACAAGACTTTCTGGTTGTAATTCATCAGAATCAAATGATCCAGGCCGACTTTGTCTTGATCTCCCTTTAGTATCCTTCCTTTCTTTGAGGAACTTCACTGCATCAGGAGCTTTAAGTTCATGTGACGATGATAAACTTCTCAGGTAGAAATTGGTTTTCAAGGTGATGACACGCAGACCAGAGAAATTCTGGTTCCATGGTTTCACAAAAATTAAAAAGTAGTCTTTGTTTTGCATGTAGTCTAGGTATTTCTGAGGAAGTAGAAGAATATCATTAAAAGAATTTTCCAGTCCTATTCCATCTCTGGTGAAGATGTAATTGGAATTCTTAATGTGAGCCTTGACCACGCCCCCTCCAGAATTCAGAAGAGTGCATACAGCCTGTGAGATAATTTTGGCCTGTCGTTTTCTTAGTTGAGTATCTTTCATTAACTTCCTATTCATCTCTCCCAGTGTGATTTCTCCTACAGAGAGAACCAGCTCTGCATAGTCTGTCTCCTGATCAAGGCTGATGCTCATTTTGCAAGCACTGGCTCTGTTTCCAAGATGACGTGGCTTCCTGTAAAACAGACAGAGGCGTTACAGGAGACGTAACCAGTGAGACCCAGCTTTGCTTTACAAGACACAGCAAAATTGTCTGACCTGCTCTGGGTGATTAAGTGTGATTGTCAGACATGATGTTTGGTTTAGGGGCTGGTGGGACAATGTGAAATACAATACAATACTCAATTGCTAAATTTTTAAATTCATTGTCACAATCATATTTGATCCTTTCTAGTAGTTTTGAACTAATAGACTTCTTTGTGTATATTCATCATTCATGGCTCTGGGCTATATAAGGGACATATAAAATTGTGTAGTCTTATTTGTTTTATTACTTTATGTGCATGAGTGTTTTGTCTGCATGTATGTATGTGCACCACAGGAATGCTTGGCGGTCATGGAGGTCAGAAGAGGGTGTTGGATCCCTCAAGACTGGAGTTGCTGGTGGTTGTGAACCACCACATAAGTGCTGGCAATCTGACCCAGGTCCTCTGCAAGGGCTACAACTTCTCTTAAGCCCTGAGCCAACTCTCCAACCTCTACAGAAAGTGTGTGCTGCACACTAAGTATGTGTTGTCTGACCTTTCTTTGATGTCACCGTCCCATCTGTCCCCTATGTTCCCTTATACAATTTCACCACTTCTTTCATGTCTTACACACACACACATGGTTTTATGGATGTATAATCTATAAACTCTGGGAAACAACTGAGAGGAAATATCTGAGATTTGTCTTTCTGGGACTGGCTTGATTCACTGAGTGTGAACATGTCCCATGGTCTCTATTCCTCACAGTGGTTAGGGTGACATTCAGGGCTTGGCATTTGTCAGGTGAGCATTCTCCAGGAGACACATCACAGCCCCTTTTGTCCATTAATGTAGGTGTTCCCCACTCTTAACTCGCCCTCCCGATGTAGCTTCTATGTTCTGGTGTCTTGATTTCCTCTCCTCATTTTCTCAGGACATTCTTTTCTAATCATGTGAAGTCCTATTTGTGTCGTTGTTTATGAGCACTTTGTTCCTGTCCTAGGATCCTCTGTGCTTCTGACTTTCCTTCTGGGAAGCTTCCTAGTCCTTTCCTTCCCTTACGACAATCAGTTAGTTCACATACTTTGATTTTTTCAAAGGTCCTGGCTTGGCATACTGTCTGCCCTGGAGAATGTCCCCTAGACACTCCAGTTGACCAGATGGCTCTGTGAATGTCTGTTGATCCATGTCTTCCACCAACACTGGGGAGTTTGCAGACATTATTTCTTCAAATAACTTCTCACCTCCTTTGTGACCTCAAGTTCTGTGGATAAAAGCAATCACCCCTTTAGCCTTCCTGGTAGAGATCCACATAATGTTGGGTTTTGTTTTCAGTTCCTAGTTTTAGGATATTTGATCACAATGCCAAACCCAAGACTGCTTTATTCATTGGAAACCCTTTTATAGTTTTAGTGTGGCTCAGCCCTAGCACACACCTTTAATCCAAGAGCTTTCTGCTTGAATATTGCAAACAGGATTAAATAAAGTCAGTCATAGGTCAAGAGGCAGAGCAAGCACCTAACCGGAAAACAAAACAAAACAAAACAAGACCATAGAGACTAAGAGGGTGTCAGGAGGGCCTAGAAAGAGACACACAGGAAGTAGAATGGAGGGACACTCATTTGGAGGAGTGTTGTTTAAGACAGTGTAGGAGAAAGCAGGCTCTCACCCCAGCATCTGACTCCTTAGCTTTTATTGTTAAAAGTGAATGACTGATATTAGTTTAAAAGATCAGTTCCTATTGATTCGCCTGTGTTAGTGGTTTCATTGGTCTTCAGTTTACAGATTTTTTTCTGTCTACTAACTATGTATTGGCCCTTTCCAAATATTTAAAAAATTCAATTAGTGTAGTCTTAAATATCTGGTTCAGGGGAACTGGAGAGATGGCTCAGGGGTGAAGAATACTGACTGCTCTTTCAGAGGATCTGGATTCAATTGTCAGCACCCATATGGAAGCTCACAACTGTCTGTAAGTACTGTTCCTGGGAGTCTGACACCTTCACACAGACACACATGAAAGCAAAACATAAACTTAAATAAAATAATTGAAATTTTTTTAAAATCCTGTTTAGTTCCTTAATATTTTGTTTAATTAATGAACTTGTTGCCCATCCTGGTTTGCACCTATCCTTAGTCTAGTCCTCAGAATTCCAGCCAGGGCAACTCCAACTTGCAGTAGAGCTTTGCGTTCCCCATTTGACATGACAGACTACAGGAAAAGCAGCCACCCTTCCACACTAGGACAGCGTGCACTGATGTCAGCAGATCCAACAGGGCTAGAGAGATGGCTTAGCAGTAAAGAGCACTGGCTGCTACTCCAGAGGACCCATGTTCAATTCCCAGTACCTAAATGGTGGCTCAGACATGTGGTACAAAGACATGCACGCAGACAAAACAGCAATTCATACAAAATAAATAAGTTAAAACTTATTTTAAAACGTTCCCATGATGGTTATATACTTGGATTACTGCTACTCTCAAGCTTGGCCTGAAGAGCTTCTCTCTGCAGTGATCAGAAATTGATACAGAGACTCTTCACTGCTCAAAAGTGTTGAGAAGTAGTGACTGAGTGTTCTTCCTGTCAAGCTCAGGGAACAATGCAGAAGACAGGACATGAAAACTGTCAGAACTGAGAGCTGGTAGCTGGAGAAATGGGTCCCTGGTTAAGAGACATTGCTGTTTTTCCAGAGGACTAAGGTTTGCTTCACTGCACTGATTAGCAGCTCACTACCATCTGCAACTCCAGTTCCAAGGATCAGAATCTTCTCCTGCCCTCTGAGGGCACTAAGCACACACCTTGTACACCCACCCCCACACACAAAACACATACACATAAAACAAATCCATTAAAATATTGTGAAAACTGGAGGATGGAGAGGACTACTGAGAAGTGTCTTGAGGAAGTGCCAAGGCCACTGTCTCCACGAACTCACTGTAGAGTCAGTACATGCACAAGATCAAGCCAACAAGGCCACTCTGTGTTCAACAGGCCACATTCACTGGACTAGGTGGGTCATAATTAATTAGTTAATTAATTAATAAGACAGAAAATAAAGGCAGGAAAGGACTAGGAGTGGACAAGGGGAGAAGAGGTGTATATGATTAGGATACATTGTTACACATATGAAATTATCCAAGAATAAACAAAAGATATACTACTAAAGATAATAAAATAAAAACCACGGAAGTTGCCCTCCTGAGTACACGACCTAAAGACTCTAAGTCATCCTGAAGTTCACACACATACACACACACACACACACACACACACACACACACACACTCATGCATGTCACCTTTCTCTTCATAACAGCGGAGTTACTGAAGCAAAGGTGCCTATCAGCAGGTGAGTGGATGAGGAGCACATGGCGTGTATGCACAGTCCAGGGTACTGCAGCCTCACTCTATCCTGAGGGTTTATTTGGCCATAAAGGTGAATGAAATGCACCATTGCGGGAGAATTGATGGAACCTAGGATCGAGTAAGTGAAGTGATGCAGAAAGACAGAATTGTGTGTTGACTCTCACATGCAGAATAAAGCTTCTGAAAGGTATTAAAGTACAAGGGAGGCTGTGTGGGAAGAGGAGCAGGAGTGGGAAGGGGAGAAGAGAGAGTAAAGAGGGGTCCTAGGGTCATAGGTCATCTTGTGGGTGACAGTGACATAGTGAAACCCTTTGTTCGGTAAAATAATACCAATAAATAAGAAAGAGGCTCGTGTGAGTAGAAAACATCACCACCACCACCAAATCAATTTTCTCAGACTAATTTTCTGTGGGAGGTTGTTTTGAACTGCACTGACTTTGCTGTCCTGACACTAGGGGGCACTCACGTGCGGAATGATGGCAAAGACACAGCCTTATACAAGAGGAGCTGTAGAGATGTGGGAGGCTAAGATGGGGCATTTCAGTGCCTTGGCCAATATCAAGTAAATGCAACTTTTCATGCCTGTCCTTTGCTGAGGGGTAAACCCCACTGAACTCATTTGATTCGGGGGAACTGAGTTGGTGAGTGCCACTGGGGCTGACGTCGCCATCTCAGTGTGGATGCTTTAATGCCCTGTAGATTTTTTTATCTCTTTGAATATGTTTAAGTGTGCTGTGTGTGTATTACAGATTATTTTTTTCAAAAAAAATTTAAATGTTTTTTTTCCTGTGTGTATGTCTATGAACCCTCCCTGGTGTCTTTGACAGTCAAAGATAACATTAGGTTATCTGAATAGAGTTACAAATGGCTGTGAGCTGCCCCGTGGGTGCTAGGAATGGAATCCAGGTCTTCTAGAAGAGCAGCCAGTGTTATGATTTACTGAGCCATCTATGCTTGTCTGTCTGTCTTCTTTCCATTCTTCCTTTCCATTTCACTAACATAAATGTTGTGTATTCAGAGTGCAAAATACACATATGAAATAGGTACATATTATGGGATGGTTACATTAAGTTAATTGACATGTGAATAACTTTATACAAAATGATAAAGCTGTCATTTTTGTGTGAAGAACACTTAACACCTGCTTCTAGAGCTAGGTCTGGTGGTGCATCCTATAAGCCAGTACCCAGGAGGCTGAGGCAGAAAGTTCACAAGTTCAAAGTCAAGCTTGGAATGCAGGGTGAGTTCAAGGACAGCCTGAGTAACTTAGCAAAGCACCCTTTCCAAATGAAAAGTAATCAGAGGGCTGGAGATAGAGTTTAAAAGCAGAGCTCAGCATGTTCTCTGCCCAAGCTGCAACCCTCAGCACCATGAAATATGATGTCTACTTGTGGTAGCTTTCAAAGTAGAATACAATGTTATTTGCTGTTGGCACCCTGTTCTGCAATGCTCCCCTTACATGACAACATTTTAAATCTTTCAACATGTAAGCCCACTCCTGCTCCTTGCTACCCTAACTTCTACTACCATCATATCAGGTTCTTTAGATTCCTTACATAAGTGAATTCATACAAGATTGGCTCTTCTGTGCCTGGATCATTTTACATTATGTAATGTCATTCAGGCTCTTCCATGTGTACACAAATGACTATATTTCCTTCCTTTTAAGACTCCATATTGACTAATGTGTGAGTGTACTACATATTCCATCCATGATTTCATATTTTGACTTTTTCAAAAATGCAGCAATGGCCAGGGACATGCAGCTGTCTCTCTGGCACAATGACTTCATTTCTCTTAAACAAACCTAGTAGTATTTCTCACTTCAGGTGCCTCTATGTTTTCCAAGATATCCACTCTAATTCATACTCTCCCTGACACTGTGCAGGGATCCCTTTACTCCACATCAATGACAACATTTACCTTTCACTTTTCTGATAACAGTAATTGCAGGATGAGGAGAGCTGGAGAGAGAGGCTCCGTGGTCATGAGCACCAGCTGCTCTTGCACAAGACTCAAGTTCTATACATGAAAATAAAATAAAATTAATCTTAAAAAATTCATGGTGCTGAAGGCATAGTTCAGCAGTGAAGAGCACTGGCTGCTCCTCCAAAGGACCCTGGTTCAATTCCCAGCACCCACATGATGACTCTCAGCCTTCTGTAACTCCAGTTTCAGGCACTCTGTCACCCTCTTTATTTCTGCAGAGCTCCAGGCACACACCTGGTGTACATACAGGCGGGCAGGCAAAACATCAATACTAATAAAGCAATAATGATGAAAGGAATAAAATAATCAGTCATTCTGACAAGACCAAATCATATATCACTGTGCTTCCTGCATTTCAATAATTAGCGACATTAACATTTTTGTCAAAAGCCTCTCTTGCATTTGTGAATCTGCTGTGAATGTGTCCCCTAACCTCTATCCAGCCTTTGACCCTGAAGAGATGAGGGCTTCTGGGGCTTATCTTTTAGTAACCCAGCTGTGGGATGTGAAATTTTATCTCTTTAGTCTGTTTTTAGTTTCCTGTATATTTAGGGTGAGATCTAACTTCATTCTTCTCTGTGTAGAGATCTTACGTCTGTTTCAGCTGTAGGGTCGGATCTCGAAGACGATGGGGCATCCTCAAGGGGCTCTGGTGGTCTACACGAACCCCTCTTCCCCTGCCTCAGCAGCCAGACTTAGACCAAGCTTAATTTGGCAGTACACAGAGTTACCAAGGTAAGACTTCCTGTTTGTGGCACTGAGGGCTAACGTCAGGTCTGAGGAAATCTGTTGTTGACCAAGCATAATTCAGCACCCTTAACCTCTCCCCAACCCATAAACAAATGAAAGCATTTGCTCTCACCAAATTCCTGCAGTGTCCAGGTCCTCAGCAGCCTGTGCTTTGGGAGAAGAGGCTGTGGAGATGCCAAGCAGCCAAAGATTCTAGGAAGAACAGAAACTCTCCAGGGTTTACATGAGACAGTGGTTTGAACCATCAACTCCTAGTCATCCCAGATCAATAGCCAGGACCTATTGTTGGGATGGGGACAGAAAGAGAAAGAAAATGGGTCTGCAGGATGCTGGTATACACTTGGCTCACCCTACCTTGTGCAGGATCTGAGTTGCTTGAAGTCCTTTGTGCTCAAGAGAGGGAATTCCACGTTGTGTAGCCTCCTCCAGAGCAGGAGACCTGCAAAGATGAGAGTTCCTTCAGTGCTGAATGTGACTTCTCCTAGATAAATATTTAACCTTCATGAGTTCTGGTTTTATTTTGTCGCTGTTGTTTGTTTGTTTAATGCTTCCCTAGAGGGAATAAAGCAGTCTTGTTCCTTTGTTTTCCTTCTCTCTCTGGCCAGAGTTACCTGAATTCTAGTCTCCAATCTTCTTCTCACCTCAGCCTCCCAAGTGGCCATGAATATGGCACAGCCCATCCCTCTGTATGACGTCAGAGTCTAGGACAGAATCCAATCTGCTAATGTTTGAGTTAAGCTTCTGCATCTCATGTTCTTCTAGCATCATGGTTGAAAGATGCTGGTGTCAGTTTACAGCCTCGCGACAAAATGAGTGACAAAGCTCTGCCCTGATGTGTGGACAGTTGAGGATAGAACCCCTGTGCAGCACATGCATTAAAGTACAACTAAAGGAATGACCATTTCACAGACATGACGAGCTTTCTTTCCCTCGTGGCACAGTTCATCATGATCTGCCATCCTGGCAGAAATCAGAGTAGAAAGTTTGGAATTTTATTTTTCCTTGACATCACATCTCATTTATAATTAGTTTGTAAACTAGTGATTAACAGCTTCAGTCAAAACCCTGTAAGCTGCAGCTTCTTTAAATGAGTGTTTAAATGTATGTTTAAAAAAATGTATGTATGTGTACCACACATGTACATGGTACCCTTGGAGTTCTGAAGAGGGGTCCCCTGGCACTGTAGTTAGGGATGTTGGTGAACCACCATGCTGGGCACTAAACCCAGGCCCTCTGCAAGAGCAACAAGTGCTCTGAGCCTCTGCACCAATTCCTCAGTTCCAGCAAACTGCTACTTAATTTCATATTCATACTAATGCACCAGTGCTTCATGATATCATGACAGCTGAGATTAGAGATGGCTTCTGAAGGCTTAGAGCAATATATATGAGTACGGAGTGTCATTCAAACTGAGTCTTGAGAATACTATTCACAGCTACTGATTTTTTATTTATTTGTATTTCATTTTTACTATTTTTATTCATGGTTTTTGAGATGTGGTCTTTCTATGTACCCTTGGCTGGCATTGACCCACTATGTATGCATCAGGCTGGCCCCTAACTCATAGGGATCTGCCTGAGTGTGCATCCTGAATGCTGGCATTAAAGGCATGTGACAGCCTCTTGGCTACAGCTACTGAATTTCATTAGGACCAAGAGCTCTCTCATAAAGCTCCTCTAGTCGACAAGTAGATAGGTTCAGGAATATAAAGATATATTAGAATGGGAGGTGGGAATCCTGAGAAGATATACAGAAATATAACTAAATCTCAGAAATTAAGAAATAGAATCCTGAAGTAAATAAAGAAAAGAGAAAACCCTGTGGTAAAGAAGTTTGACTCTAGGAATTGAATTCTGACTAAAACATGAGTGTGGGCCTGAATTCATAACTCATTTTATAAGAAGGCAATATTGTCTAAGAATGCAAAATCATAGATAGACATGCTAGGTTTCCAGAAACTGAATTACTAGGTCAAGTGGTAAAATTGCTTATATGTATTATAGTCACCATTGGGATTTTTTCTCAGCAACTTTATCTTGGGCAGGTCTGTGGAGGCACACGCAACACCTGAGAGGATTCAGGCCCAGGGGTCCATATCTATTATAAACCAACACTTTCCCTTTATTTTTCCCAAGCACCCAGAGCTGGCCAAGGAGAAAGACACTCTTCCAAGATAAGTTCAGACTGGCCATGGATTCAAATAGGTCACAGCTAAAGGAAAGCAAGTGAACACGTTGCTGAAAGTCAGGCTCCAGGAAGAAGTCTGGACTCCCAGGAGATGAACAACATGAAGTCAGATAAATGTAGTCACTGATTTAAACTGAAAGCTTAACCATGGTGTTAATGCGAATTAACTCTGCAAGAAACCCTCAGGAAGATGTGTGTTCCCACCTTGATGAGCATTCTGCTTCATCGGAGAGCTAATTAATGTGCATTAGTGCCAATCATTACATATTTCTACACAGGAGGGCTGCCCCGGAAATGAGCCCTGCTAGAGAGCTTCATCTCCAACCAAAAGGCTGCAAGGAGACCAACCTGTGGAGTTGCCCCTGGGAGCCTGTTGTGGTCATTGTGAGCTTGAGGCATGCAGAACATCCACAGTGAATTACAGGCCAGCCTGGGGTACACATCAAGACCCTGTCTGCCTCCCTCTTCCGCCCTCCACTCTAAAATAATCAAGCAAAACCTCAACCAAAGTAAACGGTATTCTGAACAGCCTGTACTGTGGAGAGAGAGCAGTTTCCTTTCTGCCCAGTTAATAGTTACGGCTGCAGCCCCACCCTACTGAACCGTCTGTTCCTCTTCCTTCCCTGTCTCTCCTCTCCAACACCCTCCTTATCAGGCCCTGTCCTAAGACAGCAACTCGGTATCAGTATCCACATGGAAAGGGGACAGAAGTCTCATCTCACACCAAAGTGCAAAAGGACAATGCCCCTGAGATTATTAAAACTCAAGAGTCCTACAGTGCAGTCATATTTAGAGGAGCTGTTGGCTAGCCTGGGACACTGGTCATCTCAAATCAAGACCCCAGCTATCAAAACTGTCTGTGGTTCATACTCACTACCTTCAGTCACACAGCTGAGACACAGTCCTTAAAAACCAAGGTAGACACCAGAGCTCACCAAATTCCAAGACTGAAGTAAAGCTCACTGAACTCCTGCAGCCTTGGGTCTAATTTACCAGGTAGTTCCTTTTTCTCAAATTGTAGCACTGACTTTGGGGAAATTCTCTCAGAAAGGAACTGGGGGTTCAAGGTGTCTAGGCAACTATTTTTTGCTGGGAAAGAGTATGACATTCAAGAGTATGTTGTTACTTTGCCACAATTGCAGGTTGGAAAGAAAGCACAGAAAGAGGGGCCAGGAGAGGAAGGACCTACTGTCTGTGGAACAAAGCAAAACAACCCAAGGCTAGACCACTCTTTCTCTCCTGGGTTGGCACAGTTCATTTCCCTTGGCAAATCAAAGTTCTCATCTTCTAAATAACAAATTCCATAGGGGCTGATTTCTTTCTGCCTCTAGTGTTCTGCTGCTTCCCTCCAGGGCCCCATGTTTTCTTACCATGTAACAAGGTCAGGTCTCTAAGAGGATAGGGAACCCTCAGGGGATTCTAGATCCACAGAAGCCTGGCATTCATAACCTGCCATGACCCCCTTCTTTTTACCTCACTAACCACAGTCAGAACAAACATAATGGGTTATCTTCCTGCAACCTTAAGCCCTCCCTTTCCTTTTCTCTCACAGAGAGGAAGCCATTTGCTCTCACCACAGCTCCGGTGACTCCAAGTCCTCGGCAGCCTGTGCTTTGATAGAAGAGACTCTGAAGATGCCAAGGAGCCAAGATTCCTATAAGGAAACCAAGTTGGGTTAACCTGAGAGGGATGAGTTGTGCTGTCAACTCCTCCACCCGACATCCACCCGAAAGCATTGAGTAGACAGGACCCGACATTCGGTGGGGAAAGAACGAGAAAGATGACGGGGGACAGGGAGTTCGAGGCTGCTGCAGGGGACCGGCTTCACTTACTCTGTGTTTTGGAAGTTGAGTTCCTTGAAGCTCTGAGTATGGAAAGCTCCCAGCTGTTTCGGGTCTATAGACTGACAAGCTGTAAGATCTGGATGGCCAATATATAGCCAAGGTGTGAATGCTTGGTGACGTGAAGTGGACTAGCTTTATGAATTACACGGTGTGGCTGTTCTTGGACTTTGAGCATTTAGTCATTCCAGGAAGTATGAAAGGGAACTTCAGTGCTTTGTGCAATTCTCGTTGAAATGGAAGACAACAAGTTCAAAAAACAATAATACGCAAACAGACGTGAAACTACATGGTGAAATTTGGGGCAAAGATGGAAGTCAAAGGGCGAACACAGGTAGAGGTTAAGGGACATTTGCCATATATGGTAAATACCTGTATGAAAGAAATTTGATTTAATTTAAAAGAGAAACGAAGTGGTTATAGTGTCTTAGCAGGAGGTCCAGCTTTCCATCTTTACCAGCCTTCCATGAGCAGCCTAAGTCCCAGGGCTTCTAGAGCAGGTGCTGGAGGGATGGGAGGAGGAGAGCAGTGATACCCTAGGGAGAAGGAAGGGCATGCAGAGGGCTATGGCACCAGTGCAGGCAGAGGGTGCCCAACAACACACACTTGGTACTGCAAGAAAAGGCCCCAGTGGCCCTAAGCAGTTTCAAGGCTCCTACTGCTTTGTTTTCTTTAGGGCTCTTTTTATACTAAATGCAGCAATGCATCAACACATGGTTTTCTAGCTCTTTGCCCCAGTGAGTAATCTCAGGAAAACCCAAGGTTTTATTTTGTTTTGTTGTTGTTTCTTTGTTTTTAGGGGTTTTGTTGGAGGTGGGGTATATTTTAGTGCATACACATTTTACAAAGATTGGGCTTTCCTGTGACATTTTCCTACACACAAATGACATGCTTTGGTCATACTTATCCCTTTTAGCTCTGTCACTTCCAGTGCCAACAGAGACCTTGGGTTTGGATACACAGGGGACAAAATGTCCAGCTCACTGGAGACTCTATAGGGGTGCATTGTTTGGTCTGTGGAGCACCACCCTAGCTTCACTCCTGCCTCAACTGCCTGCTGGTAGGGGTTCAGCCTAGACTTTGACTGTCAGGAACAGGTAGGGGCTGCCTGGGTAAGAAAATGAGTGAGTATGCTCCAGTCACTGCTATAGCAGAGAGAGAAAATGTCAACAACTCCTTTTTTTCCAGAGGCTCCCTGGAGTACAGAGGCGTCCTTATTGACATCCATGTTCAGGGGGCTGGATCAGTCTTGTACTGGTCTCCCAGTTAGCATCTGGGATCGATGTGCTCTCCCTTGTTTAGGCCAACTGCTTCTGTGGGTTTCTCCAACCTGGTACAGACCCCTTCAATCTTCATTCCTCCCTCTGTTCAACTAAATTCCCGATTTCAGCTCAGTGTATATCTGTGGATGTCTGTCTCTGCTTCCATCAGCCACTGGATGAGGGCTCTAGGATGGCATAAAGAGTAGTCATCAATCTCATTTTAGGGGAAGGGCTTTTAGGTTATCTTCGCCACCATTGCCTGGATTGACAGATTGTGTCATCCTTGTAGGTCTCTGGAGATCTCCCTAGTTCCAGATCTCTTCTCGGACCTATAGTGGCTCCCTCTAATATGGTATCTCTCATCCTGCTCTCCTCTATTCTTCTCCCTACTCAATATCTCTGCTCCTCCATTTCCCCTACTCCTCTTCTCGTGTTCTTATTGTGACAGCATCCTTCCCCCCTACCCTCATGCTCCCCATTAGCTCAGGAGTTCCTGCCACTTCCCATTCCTGGCGTCTATTTATCCCTTAGAGTCCTTCATGTTTCCTAGTTTCTTTGGTGAAGAGGATTATAGGCTGGTAAACCTTTGCTCTATGTCTAAAATTCATATATGAGTGAGTACATACCATGTTTGTCTTTTTGTGACTGGGTTACCTCATTCAGGATGGTTTCTTCTAGTTCCATCCATTTGCCTGCGAATTTCAAGATTCCATTGCTTTTTCTTGACAAAAAAGCAAAAAAATTGAACTTCAGGGCTCTTTTTATACTAATTGCAGCAATGCATCAATGTATGGTTTTCTAGCTCTTTGCCCCAGTGAGTAATCTCAGGAAAACACAATGTTTGTTTTGTTGTTGTTTCTTTGTTTTTAGGGGTTTTGTTGGAGGTGGGGTATATTTTAGTGCATACATATTTTACAAAGATTGGGCTTTCCTGTGACATTTTCCTACACACAAATGACATGCTTTGGTCATACTTATCCCTTTTAGCTCTGTCACTTCCAGTGCCAACAGACACCTCAGGTTTGGATACACAAGGGACAAAATGTCCAGCTCACTGGGGACTCTGTGGGGGTGCATTGTTTGGTCTTTGGAGCTCCACCCTAGCTTCACTCCTGCCTCAACTGCCTGCTAGTGGAAGTTCAGCCTAGACTTTGACTGTCAGGAACAGGCAGGGGCTGCCTGGGTAAGAAAATGAGTGAGTATGCTCCAGTCACTGCTATAGCAAAGAGAGAAAATGTCACCAACTCCTTATTTGATTAATTATTCATAATTATACATGATTATGTTTCCCATCTCCAAGAGAATTGGAGCAAGAAACTTGCATGGGGAATTTAAAAAATAAAATCCACAGTGTTAGGGGTTGAAAGAGAAGAAGTCTCCAGAAGCCCCGATTTGTCAAGGGTCAGCCACTGTCTGATGCAGGCCCAAGGCTTGAGAAGGACACAGCTCCCTTCTGTCCCTACAAGGTAATACAAGTCCAGGCAAAAGGCTTGAACTCCAAAAGGCTTGCTTTCCTCTTCCCATCTTTCCAAGGTTTCGGTTCTTAGAAAACGAAAGCACAGTTCTCAGGCCTCCTCTGTCTCCACCCTTCTAACCTCAAGAAGTAAAGGCTACTTCCTGTTGGGCAATAGTCATGGCTTTCCAGTTAGTGTGACGTTCATGAGCTCTGACTTGAGACTGAAGAAACTGTATCAGAAGAATCACTCACTGAGTCCCTGGAAGAGCAATGGGGGCAGGGGGTGGGAGTGGGGGGATCTGGCTGGGTTTTTGTTTTTGTTTTTTCTTTTTGAGTGAAAGTTTTATTAGAAGAGTGAGGGGGAAGGAAAGAGGAAAGAGGTAAAGAGACCCAGGGGGAGGACAGAAGAGAAGAGGGAGACAGGAGGAGAAAGAGAGAGAAGAGCAGGAAAGAGCAGAAAGAGCCTGGCTGGGTTTTATTAGTTTTTTTGTTTTTTGTTTTGTTGTTAATTCTTTCTGGTTAGCTTTTTTTTTAATTAATTATAGAATTTATTATGGCAGGAGAGCGAGAGGGGGAGAGACAGAAATGGGAGAACAGAGCAGAGAAGAATTAGTGGTCGACCGCCTGAAACAGAGCGAGGAGAGGGAGAGAAAGGGGGAGAGGTACAAGCTTTCTTGGTTAGATTTTTATGCCCAGATATTAGAACCCCAAAAATCCACCACGAGGAAATGACACACTTAATGTAAAAACAAAGGTTTCTTACAAGCTAAAGCTCGGAGTCTGTCCACTCAGGAATAAGCAGAATGCCACTTTTTGCCTGGGGGAGGTTTTTAAAGGGAAGGTTCAAAAGACTGGATGTCTTGAAATTACAAAGCTTTCACGGTTGCATAGGATGAAACAATAACCATATATTTCAGGCAGGATGCAATTAATCAGGATACTGTAGAGGAAGTAAGTTTGTTAATTATCTCCTTGGCCAGGGACTTTTACAACTATGAATTGACAGCTATCTGATCTTCTTTAGGACAGAGAAATGTTGACACAACTGTGTTATCTGTTCCCAGGCCTCTGTATCCAGCTCTTTGTTTAGCCGTATCTATCAGGCTGCCTTTTTGGGAACTCAGAGTCTTAAGTGTTTTTCTTTTTCTATTTGGGCTTTTGTAGTCTAAGTTATTAGACTTTTATTAATTTTCCTATTTCAAGTTAATGCTCAAAATGAAGGAATGCTTCTGCAGTTTCCATATATGTATAGCTTTGTCCCTTGCCCCATCATCCTCTCTATGTCTGTCCCCTCCCCTGCTAGTCTTCTAATTAACTTCCTTCTTCCTTCATATCACACATGTCAATCTACTTTTCATATATGAGAGAACTGTGATGGTTTCTTTTTCTCTTTCTTGTTAGTCTCTTCCTCCTCGCCCCTTCTTCGCCTTCCCTCCCTCCCTGGTGTGATCTGTGTCTTTCTGTGTGTTTGTATATTTTTTGTTAAGTGCACATTCTATCACTGTACTTTATAGCTCCATCTCTCAAGTAATTTTTATCTTTGCCTCCACTCACAGTTTAATTATATGTCTACACATTTGCCAGTCGTGATTACCTACTTTGTAAATATTTCAGGTTCCCATTTTTCAACTTCATCATTTTACCATGGAATCTGCAAGGAATATATGAAAAACTTCCTGCTCAGGTTAGGGATGGAGCTTAGAGGTAGAAGATTTCCCTAGAACGTGTGAAGTCTCTTGTTGTACTCTAAATACACACACACACACACACACACACACACACGGGGGGGGGGGGGAAAAAAAAAAAAAAAAATTTAAAAAAAAACAACCCCAAAAAAAAACAGAAATAGACAGACAGAGGGTGAGCCAGGGGGAGGCAGACTGGGATGATGACTCATAGGGTGCAAGCTGTATCCCCCTAGCTCTTTGGGAAGATGGGTTTCTGTGGGAGACTCCAAGGGCTGCTGTAGACAGACAAGTTACACATACCACTTTTTCTTTGTGCCCTCTCTTAAGATAATTACGGTAACACAATTTTCTCAAACTCACTGCATTTAAGATCCATAAAGAAGGTGTGAGGAGAAAGGTGAGGCTGTAGAGTTGAAAGGAGGGGTGAGAAGTAAGAAAAAAAATACAGGGAGTGAGGAGATAGGCAAGACGATAAGCAAAGGTGAGAGGAGAGGAAAGGCCAGGGGGCAAGAGAGGGACCTCAGAATCCTCAGCTATGGGTGCTTCTCCACCATTAACCTCAGGGAGGTAAATGTAGAGGCATCTTGCCTGTGAACCAGTAATGGTGGTCACACCCCTCCTTTGGGCATGGCTTCAGGTGAAGATGGAACTGGAAAGAGGAAAGCTTGAGGCATGGTCTCTCTTACATTCTCTCTCTCTCTCTCTCTCTCTCTCTCTCTCTCTCTCTCTCTCTCTCTCTCTAGGATCCACAATCAGATATGAAGAACAGAGAAAGGCTGTAGTAGTTCTTTATTGTTCTGTGTGAGTTGTTCCTCATCCTCAAACATACACTTATCATTTATCTTGGGTCTAGTGAACTCATTACACCCATGCCTGCAGACAAAAGAGTCTGTGGATGACTCAAGCACCCTTGCTCAAGACACCCCAGTTGCAGGCTAATGGATCAGGAGCAAGGCTTCTGCAGTCTC